TTTAATCAAGGTTCTTCCCCAATTTGATAACAAACCTAAAAATTTACATGACATTGCCAATAACAACTTGTGAACCTGAAACTTTTTAAAACTATCAAATAATAAAAGACTATCAAATAATAGAAAACTTTTTAAAACTATCAACTCATGCTAAGAAAAGACTGAATTACCTTCCCAGTCTCTCTATAAAATGATATTATCAAGTGATTGTCATGTGAAGAAGCAATCAAAGAGTATGCAGCCAAAAATGTAAGAAAAAAGTAACAATCAAGCGTGACTGGCATCTAATCAATCAAACTACTACAGAAATTTTTTGTGATGCTTGTGGTAGTCAGCTTTTAAAAATGTGTAATTTGCCACAGGGCTCAGTGGTTCACACCTGTAATCCCAACACTTTGGGAGGCCAAGGTGGGTGGATCACCTGAGGTCAGGAGTTCAAGACCAACCTGACCAAAATTGAGAAAACCCATCTCTACTAAAACTACAAATCAGCAGGGCTCGGTGCATGCCTGTAATTCTAGCTACTTGGGAGGCTAAGGCAAGAGAATCGCTTGAACCTGGGAGGTGGAGGCTGTGGTGAGCCAAAGTCACGCCCATTGCACTCCAGCCTGGGCAACAAGAGTGAAACTCCGTCTCAACAAAAAATTGTAATTTGTTGTGATTTCTCATTATAAATAAATATTCACTTTTATACCTATCTTTATATTTGTAATTTGGTGGGGGTTTTTCCTTAAAGAGGGCACCACTTCTGCCCCCTTCCCTTGGAATTATATATGCATCACACTCCACAAAACTGGACTGACTAAAGTGCAGAGCAAGCTCTTAGGTGCTGCTACAGCTATTTGAGGTGCTGGGTCTGGTACTGTCAAGTCACTTGTGCTGTTCAAGCTCCAAAAAGTGGGCATAGGTTAGAAAAGTCACCAAAGTAGATCAAATTGAAACACCTCTTTATGAGGTCACCTCTCAAGCATTTTAGATCACCAGTAATGTTACCAGGCCCGATCTTTGCTTCTGGAGGAACCCCAGGATCAGGAATTCTTGCCATTCACTATCCTGGCCCTGTTTAAACAAACAAACAAGTGTTTACAAAAGCAAAGTGATTCCAGCTCCTTGAATATTGTTAATTATTCGTGCTAGCATCATCTAGTGACAAAAAGGGGTAAGTTCAGCTCAGCTCACCAAAATTAGTCAAAATGGTGCAGCTTTTTCTCCTTTTCTGTCAGTTGTGCAGTATACAAAAGTCAATTCCAGAGTAACTTTTGTTTATTAACTTATGTCCTCAAATAAATGAAACTAGAGAAACAGCAGGCCAGATAGAGATGAAAATATAAAGTAAAAACTGAGAGGAAAACGGGTTATTTTAACTACTGATGGCACTGTTTGCAGGAATCATACTTCAGTGCCGTTTAAGATTAGCAAACTGCCGGCCTCATGGAGCAGGAGACCCCTTTAAGATGGGTGGGCCAAGTGCAGGGGTGGGGGGTGGGGGTCCTGAACAACTCTGCAGACCCTTAGTTGACCTTGTTGAATATTCTGGACCATCCAGGCTTTTGAGTGGAACCTGCTACCTAGTTGACCCTTTAGTTCCTCTTCTTATCAGCTCTGTTATTTCCAATCTCTGGCTCACATCTTGCCCCACTCCATTCCACTATGTATGTTTTCAGTTCGCATCTTTTCTCCCTTCCATTTAAATTTTCCCCAAACAGATCTGGCCTTAGTCACCTCCTTGCATCCTCTATTGAGTTCTCATTCAACAAACATTTGTTGAGCATCTTTGTGCCAGGCCTATGGTAGGTATAGATGACTCAAGGCTGGCAATAACAGTGTTGCAAGCACACCCTCTGGATCCAAACTCTAGGTTCGAATCCTAGTACCATCATGTCTAACTGTGAGATCTTGGACAAGTTACTTTGTTGTACCCCAGTGTCCTTATCTATATAAAAGGAAAAACAAAAAAAAGAGAGAGAGAAAAAAGGAAAAATAATACATTTTCTCATGCAGTTAGTGGGAGGACTAGGTAAGGGGCTTAGAAAGGTGTCTGGTGCCTGGTAAGCACTCTTTAAGTGCGGGCTCTTAAGGCAAGGTCCTTGCCTCTCAAGGAGCTCATGGTCTACAGTTGCCCCTGGGGGACAGGGCTGATTGGACAGTTTCGCAAGTGACTTGCAAAACTTAATTAGCTCACTAATTAGCTCACTAGTTCTATATATCATTTCTCTAATACTTACTACAAAACTAACTCACACTAGTACCATAAATGCTCAAGAAACTGAAATAATCTGAACCATCCTGCCCGCTATAATTCTCATTATAATTGCCCTCCCATCCCTACGTATTTTATATATGACAGACGAATTTAATAAACCATACCTAACTCTTAAAGCAATTGGCCACCAATGATACTGAAGCTATGAATACTCCGATTATGAAGACTTAGCATTCGACTCTTATATTATACCAACATATTTCCTTGAACCTGGGGAATTTTGACTCCTTGAAGTAGATAACCAAACAACCTTGCCCATAGAAGCAGATATTCGTGTACTGATCTCATCACAAGACGTCCTACACTCATGAGCTGTGCCATCACTAGGTGTAAAAACAGATGCAATCCCCGGACACTTAAATCAAGCCATACTAGCTTCCATACGACCAGGCCTATTCTACGGACAGTGTTCAGAAATTTGTGGATCCAACCACAGCTTTATGCCCATTGTTCTAGAATTTATCTATTTCCAAGATTTTGAAGTATGAGCCTCATACTTATATATTGTATCACTGTAAAGCTAAACCAGCATTAACCTTTTAAGTTAAAGATTGAGAGAACCCCTCTCTCTACAGTGAGTGCCTCAACTAAACATCTCACCATGACCAATGGTGATTCTATCAATAATTGTAACCTTATTTTACATCACCCAGTTAAAAGTATTGAATTTTACTTTCTACACTATCCCATCACCAAAATTAACTAAAACACAAAAGCATAAAACAACTTGAGAACTAAAATGAACCAAAATTTATTCGCCTCCTTCAATATCCCGACAATCCTAGGAATCCCCCTAGTGATTCTAATCATCATGTTTCCTGCCATATTAATTATACCCCCTAATAACCTAATTAACAACCGATTCTCCTCTCTTCAACAATGATTAATTCAACTTACACTAAAACAAATGATAATTGCCCATACTACTAAAGGACGAACTTGATCTCTCATGCTTCTAGCCCTGATCACTTTCATTGCCTTAAATAATCTTCTCGGACTTACACCCTATGCATTTACACCAACCACCCAATTATCAATAAATCTAGGCATAGCAATTCCCCTATGAGCAGCAACTGTACTCATAGGATTACGATTTAAAACAAAATCATCTCTCGCCCATTTCCTACCACAAGGAACACCTGTGCCACTCATCCCTATACTAATTATTATTGAAACAATCAGCCTCTTCATTCAACCAGTAGCTCTAGCTGTACAACTAACAGCTAACATCACAGCAGGTCACCTGTTAATGCATCTACTTGGTGACACTACACTAACTCATGTCCATCTACCTATCCTCCTCCACAATTACTATTATCATTATTATTCTACTCATCACCCTAGAACTAGGTGTAGCACTCATCCAAGCATATGTATTCACACTTTTAGTAAGCTTATACCTACATGACAACTCATAATGACACACCAAACACATGCCTACCACATAGTTAACCCAAGCCCTTGACCACTAACAGGAGCTCTGTCAGCATTCTTACTTACATCTGGCCTAATTATATGATTCCATTTCTATTATACCCCCCTCCTTACTGCAGGACTACTAGCTAGCACAATAACAATATTTCAGTGATGACGAGACGTAGTACGAGAAGGTACATATCAAGGCCATCATACCACTCCTGTACAAAAAGGCCTTCGATATGGTATAATCCTTTTTATTATCTCAGAAGTATTCTTCTTTGCTGGCTTCTTCTGAGCATTTTATCACTCCAGCTTAGCCCCAACCCCACAAACAGGAGGACACTGACCCCCTACAGGCATTTTTCCTCTCAACCCTATAGAAGTGCCCCTACTAAATACAGCCGTACCACTTGCATCAGGCGTCACAATTACTTGAGCACACCATAGCCTAATAGAAGCCAATCGAAAAGAATCAGCTCAAGCACTGTCCATAACCATTGCACTAGGAATCTACTTTACCTGCCTACAAATATCAGAGTATTCTGAAACCTCATTTACCATCTCCGACGGAATTTATGGGTCCACATTCTTCATAGCTACAGGCTTCCATGGCCTACACGTTATCATCGGAACTACCTTCCTCACCACCTGCTATTTTCGCCAACAACTATATCACTTCACATCTAACCACCACTTCGGATTTGAAGCCGCAGCATGGTACTGACATTTCGTAGATGTAGTATGACTATTCCTATACATCTCTATCTATTGATGAGGGTCTTACTCTCTTAGTATAAACAGTACTATTCCAATCAATAAGCCTCGTATAACTGGAGAGAGAGTAATAAATCTAGCACTAACCTTAACAACCACCATCCTCCTAGCCCTACTTCTAATTACTATCACATTCTGACTACCCCAACTAAACGCATATACAGAAAAACACAACCCTTATGAATTATCAATAAATCTACACTTTCCTGAACCAGGTGGAAGTTCCTGAGTCCCAGATTCACTGACCCCAGACAAGTGAGTTATCTCGGGGTCTCGCTTTCTGCAGGAAAGGAAGGAAATTGGACTAAAATTGATTTCCAAGATCTCAACAAACTATTATACTTGTTCTGGGTCAAGTAGCCCAAGTTTCAAACGTTGTCAGCTTGGCCAAGACACTTAGCCCTCAGAGCTTGTTTCCTCCCTGTAAAACGTAATCCCCTCCAAATGTTGAAATGAGGACTCAATAATATAACGCAAGCGTCACGCGCTAGCCGGTTCCAGGTACACAGAGAAACGGGGTTAGGCCAGCCTGTCTGATTCACCACAGAATTCCACCCATCAGCCCTCGCGTTCGGCGCACGCGCGCTGGCACCGCCACCGCCCACGCCGACCGCAGGTTCCTGACTTCCGGTTCCGCCGGGGCCCAGTGGCGGCGTAGAGGCTAATGGCTGGGCCCACGGAACTAGCTGGAGGGGGCGTTAAGGAGACCGCCGCGAAAGAGGAACCACGAGTTTTGGAACCTGGGGCCGCCCCGTTCGGAAATTTTCCTCATTATTCTCGCTTCCACCCTCCGGAGCAGCGGCTCCGCCTCCTGCCCCCGGAGCTGCTTCGGCAGCTCTTTCCTCAGAGTCCAGAGAACGAGCCGATTCTGGGGCTGGACGTGGGGTGTAACTCCGGGGTGAGTGACAGGGAAGGGGTTGGAGCATCCGTAGCCAAGAGGTTGGCTGCCTCCACATCCACTGTGGTTCTGGTCTAGGCATGGCATCACACCCATCGAAACTTTCCCAAAACGAGTATAAAGCGTGTCGTTGACCGACCCAGTGCTGCTGCTACCTGCCCACCAGTGTTCCACCATTTGTCTTGGGAATCTCTCTTAGAGAGGAGTCCTTGTCAACTACGTTCCCACTTCTCCTTCAGGGCCAGACCCCAAGTGGGGATGGTCCCCGTATCTAGGGTGGCCTCTGTCCTGCGTGCCTGGCGCCTTGGCTGGGGAGAGGTGGCTTCCAGAGACACACGTTTGGGAACATGGGGTTAGGTTTGGTTTACTGGGAGAGAAAAGCCAAGGGTGACAGAATCATGCCTGATATTGAGACTTGTGTGTGCTATACAGTGCAGGACAAACCCTGGAGCCTGCATGTTTATTTAAAAAAACAAAACAGTGAATTGGCCGGGCGCAGTGGCTCATGCCTATAATCGCAGCATTTTGGGAGGCCGAGGCGGGCGGATCATGAGGTCAGGAGTTCCACTCCAGCCTGGCTAACATGGTGAAACTCCGTCTCTACAAAAATACAAAAATATAGCGGGGTGTGGTGGCGGGCGCCTGTAATCCCAGCTACTCGGGAAGCTGAGGCAGGAGAATCACTTGAACCCGGGAAGCAGAGGTTGCAGTGAGCCAAAAAGAAAAAAGAAATGTGAGTTGACCGAGTACAGTGGAGAGGATCAGGAAGAAAATAGAACATTTTGCCCGAGGGAATGGAGAAGGGTGGCATTGCCACTCTTCTTACTGCAAACTATTCCTAGACATATAATGATTATAGTCAAACCACATGCAAAATAAGGAAATGTCTCTCCCACATCTATTTGTAGCTACTGGGATATCCTACAGGAGCAGGCAGTCTGAACTTACGATGGCAAATGCTTCAAAAGTTAGTTAGTACCCTTTTTCCGCTCCCTCCATCACTCCAGTCCAGCATCTGGAGGGCAGCAGACAATTTTGTCATCTTGCTGTCCTTTCACAAAAGAGACTTGGGGGATGATTGCAGACCTTGTGGGACCCAGCTTATAAGCAGGAGGGGGGGGACATTTGGATGCAGTCTCAAAGACTGGAATGAGGAGATAGGTGGATATCCAGTGTCCCCTCAAAAGTTCTCCACTGTGATGATATAAGAAGTCAGAGGGTAAAATCAATGAAAAAGAGAGACTGAGCTTAGGGCTTGGGATTTCCTGAAAGGCATTAATTAGGAAACCACCAGAGATTTTAAAGTTGAGAGTAGTATACACATGAGAGGTAAAGACATAGTTGGAGTTAACTAGGGTAGTGGTTCCCAAACCTGGCTATATATTTATGGAGCTTTCTGTTTTGCACTCAAAAAAAAAGCTTTCTCTTCTGGATCTTTGTAGTGAGAAAGGGGGGAAAAAGATGCTAGCGCTTGATAAAACAAAAAAATTCAAAGTACAAAGGGGTATTTAGTAAAAAGTAAGTCTCTACTCCCAACCCTAAATCCTCCTTTTCCCCTACACAGTGGCACCACTGTTTATGATTTCTTAGGTATCAGTCCTGTGTGCATACCAGCATTTATGTATGTATAAATACCCACCTTTTAGTTTTACAAATAGTAACACGTTGTTAGTAGCTTTTAATTCTGAGGTTATTTATATCACTGCATTCTTTTTTTAGTGGCTTCCTAATGTTTCATTGTATAGATGTACCATAATTTATGGGTGCTTTTTTTCAATTTTAAAAACTCCTTCCCCAGCCTGGGCAACATGGCAAAACCCCATCTCTACAAAAAGCCAGGTGTGATGATGGTCATCTGTAGTCCCAGCTACTTAGGGAGCTGAGGGAGGAGGATTGCTTGAACCTAGGAGGTCGAGGCTGAAGTCAGCTTTGATTATGCCACATACCTCAGCCTGGGCGACAAAGTGAGACCCTGTCTCTCATAAAACAACAAAAAACTGGGTGCAATGGCTGACCCTATAATCTGAACATTTTCGGAGGCTGATGCTGGTGGACTGCTTGAGCTCAGGAGCTCGAGACCAGCCTGGGCAACATGGCAAAATCTCAAAATACAAAAATTAGCTGGGCATGGTGGTGTTTGCCTGTGGTTTTAGCTACTCATGAGGCTGAGGTAAGATCATCTCTGGAGCCTAGGAAGTCAAGGTTGCAGTGAGCCATGATGGATCGAACCGCTGCACTCCAGCCTGGGAAACAGTAAGACCCTATCTCCAAAAAAAAAAAAAAGAATAAACGTTTTCAGCACCCTACAAGTTCCTCTATATGCCTTTTCTTGTTCATAAACCCCTATCTCTACCCAGAGGTAACAACTAGCCTGTTATTTCCTTGCTTTTCTTTAGTGTACTGTTTTTCTTCCCTAATGTACTTTAATTTCACCCATTTTTGAGCTTCATGTAAGTGGATGCTTGTCATATATTTTCTTTTATGGCTTGCTTTATTTCTCTACATTATGTGTTTGTGACAATCATCCGTGTTGTGCACTACAGCTGAGCACCTTCATTTTTAACTGCTGTTTAGTATTCTATCTTCATGATTTTTTCTCTTTTTTTACACATAAAAATGGTTCGGTTTCAACGCATATTTTCACAATTATACTACATTTATTTGTCCATGCCACTATCATTGGACATCTGGGTGGTTTCCATTGTGCATTTTCTTCACCTACACAAAAGGCATAAATTTTCCTTACATGCTTGTTACACCAAGCAAATAAAGTAGTAAATAGAAAAATGCCTTGCAAATACTATGTGGAAAAATGCAAATTTGAGTTAGTTATAATGGTTATAGAAATCAAAGTTAGAGGGCAGGTGCAGTGGCTCATTCCTGTAGTCCCAACACTTTGCGGGGGCTGATGTAGGTGGATCACTGAGGTCAGGAGTTCAAGACCAACCTGGCCAACATGGCGAAACCTCGTCTTTACTAAAAATAGAAGAATTAGCCGGTTGTGGTGACGCATGCCTGTAATCCCAGCTACTTGGGAGGCTGAGGCAGAAGAATCACTTGAACCTGGGAGGCAGAGGTTGCAGTGAGCCGAGACTGTGCCACTGCATGCCATCCTGGGTGAAAGAACCAGACTTTGTCTTGAAAAAAAAAAAAAAAGAATTCAAATTTAGAGAAAGGAGATGGTGACTTAAGAGTAAAAAAGGGTGCTAATGTGGTAAAAGATCACAAATCATTGGGTTTGCCTAGAAGGTTGTCAGCAGTGACTTTTAGCAATGTTTATAGGAGCAGAATGTCTCAGAAGGAGGTGGTGAATCCTAAGACAGGTAGTAAAATTGAAGCTATAGTGAAGGCTGAATAAGGACTTTGGAATCCAGACTTCCCCCACCATAGGTCTGAGAAGCAGGTTTTTGTAAGATGGTACTTGTCTATTCCTCACTTTCCTGGTAAGGGACACTAGTTATGCCTCTGGACCCCTTTCCTCCTCTCTAGGGTCTGAGATACCCAGAAAAAGAGTGACTTTATCAGCATATTACTTAAGCCAGGAAATACTGCTCTAGGCACCTTTGCTGCATCCATTTGGCTGTAACATTCAACTATACAACCCAATCTGACATCAGTGTCAGGAAAATATGGGGATGATGCATTACAGCATGTGACCCCTGGAGGGCACTGAGAGCCTACTCTGTGGAAAACTTTTTGCACAATCTCTTCAGGTTATGGTTTAGGAACTTCACATCCTGTACAGCCAGGTGTAAGTGGCATTCTCGGTGGGAGAATGATACAGATTTCTCTTCTGTTGACTGGTTAAGAACTGCAGTGACAAAGCTCTTTTGGGTTCTTCTAGGATCTGAGTGTGGCTCTATACAAACACTTCCTTTCCTTACCTGACGGGGAGACCTGCTCAGATGCCTCAAGAGAACTCCGTCTCCTCTGCTGTGACATAGATCCAGTCCTGGTGAAGCGAGCCAAAAAAGAATGTCCTTTTCCTGATGCTTTGACCTTTATCACCCTGGATTTCATGAATCAGAGGACCCGGAAGGTTCTCTTGAGCTCTTTCTTAAGCCAATTTGGACGTTCAGTTTTTGACATTGGCTTCTGCATGTCGATAACCATGTGGATTCATCTGAACCATGGGGACCATGGCCTGTGGGAGTTCTTGGCCCATCTTTCCTCCCTCTGCCGCTACCTCCTTGTGGAGCCTCAGCCCTGGAAGTGTTATCGGGCAGCCGCAAGGCGTCTCCGAAAGCTGGGACTCCATGATTTTGACCACTTCCACTCCCTTGCCATCCGAGGTGATATGACCAATCAGATTGTACAGATCTTGACCCAGGATCATGGCATGGAATTAATATGTCGCTTTGGCAACACCAGTTGGGACAGAAGCCTTCTATTCTTCAGGGCAAAACAAACCACAGAAACTCATCCAATCCCTGAATCACTGATAGAAAAAGGGAAAGAGGCTGGGCACGATGGCTCACACCTGTAATCCCAGCACTTTGGTAGGCCAAGGTGGGCAGATCATGAGGTCAGGAGTTCGCGACCAGCCTGGCCAACATGGCGAAACCCCATCTCTACTAAAAATACAAAAAAAAAAAAAAAAATTAGCCAGCCATGTGGAAGACACCTGTAATCCCAGCTACTCAAGAGGCTGAGGTAGGAGAATTTCTTGCACCCAGGGGGCAGAGGTTGCAGTGAGCCAAGATTGTGCCATTGCGCTCTAGCCTTGGCAACAAGAGCAAGACTCTCTCAAAAAATAAAAAAAGAAAGGAAAGAAAGGAACAGATTAAGATTTCAGAGGCAGTGAGGTGGGAGGGCAGGAAGACCAAGAAAGAGATATTGAAAGGATTTTACATTGAGAATTAATGTTCATTCTCCTTAACTCCTTAACAATCAGGCAGTCTCAAAACCTGGCAGCTTTTGCTAAAATGTCCAAGGCATGTAATTGAAAGAATCAGTATCTGTTCCCCATTGTTTGGAAGAAATCTTTAGAAGAATGAATCGCTGGAGCTCTGAGCTCCAGAGATATCTGGATTGAGATGGCCTAGGAAAAGTAGTCCAGGTTATGGGTTATGGAAGGGGCTGCTTTTGGGGGTTATTTATAAAGATCACACTAGGCTAGTCTTAGAATCTATCAGTTCCTGGTCCTCCTTAAACCTTACCTGGTTTCTTCAGGTGTCTTCTGGACTTGCTAGGCCTGCCTTTGAGCAAAACCTTAATAATTCAGGTCTGGAATGGGGCTTAGGAATCTGTTTTCTGGGTTTCTTTTTTGTGTTCTATTGTAATATATACATAAAATTTACCATTTTAATCATTTTTAAATATAATTTTTCAGAACATGTGGAATCCCATCAGAAATTGGATTTAAAAAATTAAAAGATGGCCGGGCACGGTGGCTCATGCCTGTAATCCCAGCACTTTGGGAGGCCGAGGCGGGTGGATCACGAGGTCAAGAAATCAAGACCATCCTGGTCAACATGGTGAAACCCCGTCTCTACTAAAAATAAAAAATTAGCTGGGCATGGTGGCGCGTGCCTGTAATCCCAGCTACTCAGGAGGCTGAGGCAGGAGAATTGCCTGAACCCAGGAGGCAGAGGTTGCAGTAAGCCGAGATCACACCATTGCACTCCAGTCTGAGTAACGAGAGCGAAACTCCGCTCAAAAAAAAAAAAAAAATTAAAAGATAATTTTTTTTAAGTATACAATTTTGGGACATTAAGTACATTCACAATGAGGAATCTGTTATTTTTTTTGTTTTTGTTTTTAAGACAGGGTTTCACCATGTTGGCCAGGCTGGGCTTGAACTCCTGACCTCAGGTGATCCACCTGCCTCGGCCTCCCAGAAGTGTTGGGATTACAGGCGTGAGCCACGATGCTGGCCAAGGAATCTGTTTTTAACAGCTCCCCCAGATGATTCTGAGGCAAGCAGCAGTAGACCATACTTTGAGTGCTTAGGGTTCCATTCAGCCTTTCTCTATGTATTTTTCCTGGGGTGAGTTCTTCCCTACAATTTTAGCAACTACCTACATGCTTGTGGTCCCCAAATATATTGGTAGCCATACATCCACAGTTCCAGACTAGCATTTTTCCTATTTTGTAATTATATCCCTTAGATCTTAGGTACATCAGATTTAACACATCTCAAAAGCAAATTAATTACTCTCATTCAAAACCTAGTCCTATCTCATTTGGTGGTATTCACTGCTCAAGCTAATAACCTCAGTTGGTTTTCTCACTTATATTCCCCACACTGAAATGCTCACAAAGTCCAGTAAATTCTATCAATTACATGTAAATTTCATTCCATTCATGTGGCTGGTGCCTGGTGGGGGGTTCCTATATTAAAGTCATCTACCCTCCAATCCATTCTCTGCCTTACAGCCAGTTTATTCATCTGTACAACTGAAATAACATCACCTTCCTTTTCCTATGCCCAAATGAGCTAAAGGATGTGAAGGTATTTTGCAGAATTTAGAGTGATAAAGAAAAATAAGGTGGTATTACACCATGTGAGCATGCTGCAGACCACAACTGCAGAGGCTTATGAGAAAAACATCTCACCTGGTAGAAAACATGCATCTTACTATCTCTGATAGCTTGTTTTTCAGGATGATGAAGTAATAAGGAGTCCAGCTTCACTGCTACAGAGCATTTTAAAGGAAGTAGTGTTGGGAGTGAGGGATATGGCGCTAATGGAAATGAGGCCAGTTATGATGGTCTCAGTTATCACAGTAGTTACAGAGCTGAATTTGCTTACAAGATCTTAATTTAGGAACACTCTGAAACCTTGTAACCCTGCTGGATGCTCTCTCCTATCACTCTTCACCAAGGCAGTGCACAGAAACATACTGTGGTAGGCTGAATGATGGTCCTCCAAGATATCCACCACCTAATCCCTGGAAACTATGAATTTTACCTTACATAGCAAAAGGGACTTTGCAAATGAGATTAAGGATCTTGAGATAGGAAGATTAATCTGGATGATCAGAATAGACCCTAAATGAAATCATCAGTGTTCTTATAATAGGGAGGCAGAGGGAGATGTGATCACAGTAGATGATGTAGACAAGAGCAAGAGGTTGGAGTGATGTGAAGAAGGGCTGCAAGTCAAGGAATGCAGGTGGCTTCTAGAAATTAGAAAAGGTAAGGAAATATATTCTTCCCCGGAGCCTCCAGAAGGAAAAGCCCTGCCAACATCTTGATTTTAGATTTCTGATCTCTAGAACTGTAAGAATAAATCAGTATTTTAAACTACTAAGTTTGTGGCGATTTCTTAAAGCAGCACTACAAAACTACATGGGCTCTGACTGCAATGAGACTGGCTTACAAAGCTGGTGGCACCTTTCCCAGATAATTCCTTGATGACAGAAAATAACCTCAGTGGCCAGAAGGATACACATGGGCTTTGTCCAACATGGCTAATTAAGAAATTGCCAAGTGCAGTGACTCACACCTGTAATCCCAACACTGGGAGGCTAAGGCAGGTGGATCATTTGAGCTCAGCAGTTCGAGACCAGCCCGGGCAAACATGGCAAAACCCCGAATCTGAAAAAAATACCAAAAAATTATCTGGGAGTGGTAGCGTGTACCTGTAGTCCCAGCAACTTGGGAGGCTGAGGTGGAGGATCACTTGAGTCCAGATCACTTGAGGTTGCACTGAGCCGAGATCATGCCACTGTACTCCAGCCTGAGTAACAGAGCGAGACTGTCTTAAAAAGAAAAAAAATCCTCAATAACTAAAAGCTTTGGGAGATGCTTCAGTATCCGAACCTGATCTGTTCTGATGGAACCACTGTATTTCACATTTGTGGCTGTTAGCCTGTAATCCCAACACTTTGGGAGGCCAAGGCGGGAGAATTACTTGAGCCCAGGAGTTACAGACCAGCCTGGGTAATACAGTGAGACCTCATCTCTACAAAAAAAGCTACTCGGGAAGCCAAGGTAGGAGGATTGCTTGAGCCTGGAAGGTAGAGGTTGCAGTGAGCTGAGATCATACCACTGCACTCCAGCCTGGACAGCAGAGTGAGACACTATCTCAAAAAAAAAAAATACATGTAGAAGGTAGTAAAGGAAAAAAAAAAAAGAATGGCGGTGTAAGCATATTTAGTCATATAGAAGAATCAGCCAAAAAGTTAAAATGGCTCATTGCTGGAGGTAAGAAATGCAGCAAATAATTGCTTCTGTAATGATTATTAAACCATATGGACATACTACTTTTTATAAAAACTAAAATGAATAATTTTTAAAATCAGGCAGTGTTTTTCTAAAATAACTCTCACTGTACCACCCATCTGTCTAATTTTTCCTTCACAGCACAGCCAAAATCTTAGAAAAGTTCTTTTTTTTGAGATGGAGTCTCACTCTGTCACCCAGGCTGGAGTGCAATGGTGCAATCTCAGCTCACTGCAACCTCTGCCTCCTGGGTTCAAGCGATTCTCCTGCCTCAGCTTTCCAAGTAGCTGGGACTACAGGCGTTTGCCACCAAGCCCAGCTAATTTTTTGCATTTTTTAGCAGAGATGAGGTTTCACCGTGTTAGCCAGGATGGTCTTGATCTCCTAACCTTGTGATCTGCCTGTCTCAGCCTCCCAAAGTGCTGGGATTATAGGCATGAGCCACTGCGCCTGGCCCAGAAAAGTATAAAACACCTTCTACCTCCATTCCTTACTTTGTAAATCTTTCTCAATCCTTCAAAATCTGGTTTTGCCAGGTCAGGCATGTAATCCAAGCATTTAGGAAGGTCAAGATGGGAGGACGGATTGAGCCCAGGAGTTCGAGAACAGCCTGGGCAATGGAGTAAGATCCCATTTCTATTTTAAATAAATAAACAAATCTGGTTTTATCAAAGTCTCCAACGACATATGGCCAGTCAGTGGGGATGTCTCTGTCCTGATCCAAATTGATTCAGCAACACTGGGACCAAAATATCCCTTCCTATTCATGGTGAATAGGTTCCAGGACCCCCCAAGGATACAAAAATCAAAGGATGTTCAAGTCCCTGACCTAAAATGGTAAATAACCTAGGGGTATTCTCCCATATACTTTAAATCATCTCTAGATTACTTGTAATAACAAATATCATGTAAATACTATGTAAATAGTTAACAGTAAATTTTTTAAATTTTGTATTTTTATTGCTATAGTTTTTTTTTTCTGATCTAGTCTTCAGAGAGATGTAGTTTTTATTTTTTTATTTTTTCTGATCTGAGGTTGGTTGAGTGCATGAATGTGGAAGCCACCAATAAGAAGGACCGACTGTATTTGGTCCTTTTTTTTTAAAATCCCTTTCTTGGGTTCTGGTGACAGCATTCATTCAGTTTTTTTTCTCCTTCTCTGGAGACACCCCTCTAATGCTGATGTTCCTTGGGGTTCTGTTCCAGCCTTTGTTTTCTCTCCTTGCATGATCTCTTCAACTTCATGAGTTCAGTAACCCTGAGGACTCAAAGCTCTTCTCTATCATCCTGATTCCTCTCCTGAGCTTCAGAATTATCCATCCCACAGCCTACATCAGTGCTTCCCAAGTTTTTCCTTGTCAGTACACACATAGAAAATGATGGTGTTTCATATGCTGGATAATGCAATCTGGCATAACCAAGATTGCTCTCTGATTCAGGGAGCTTGTGCTGCCCTGAGAATTGCAAAGTCCAGTATGCAGCACCACCATAACCTCTTCCCTGAGGCACACAGTTGAGAAGTTCTGATGACTCGGAGAGATGTTTCTACTAGGATGCCCCCTGGGCATTTCAATGTCCTCTCCATCACCACTATCACTTTCCTAGTCCCGCCCACATCATTTCTCGTTTTTCTCCTCAGGTACTACGAAAACCTTGCTTGGCCTTCCTGTTCACTCTTGCTCTCTCTATCGTCCACACTGCACACTGATCTAAAATGCAAATCTGATATGCTACCCTCCTGCTTAAAACCATTCAAAGATTGGCTGGGCACGGTGGCTCATGCCTATAATCCCAGCACTTTGGGAGGCCGAGGCGGGTGGATCACGAGGTCAAGAGATTGAGACCATCCTGGTCAACATGGTAAAACCCCATCTCTACTAAAAATACAAAAAATTAGCTGGGCATGGTGGTGCGTGCCTGTAATCCCAGCTACTCAGGAGGCTGAGGCAGGAGAATTGCCTGAACCCAGGAGGCGGAAGTTGCGGTGAGCCAAGATCGCGCCATTGCACTCCAGCCTGGGTAACAAGAGCGAAACTCCATCTCAAAAAAAAAAAAAAAAAAAAAAAAAACCCATTCAAAGGCTACACTGCTCTTAGGATAAAGGATGATCTACCCACTGCTTACCTTTCCAGTCTCATTTATCATACCCCACATGAACTCTGTACAAGTTGTCTAATACTTTATGTTCAGCACTTAGCATATAAACTCATTAAAAATTTTTGAATGATGAAAAGTGATGAAAAAGAGGTTCAAGGGTATAAGCAGATTCATCGTATTTGTGCTAGGTAGGTTTCAAAGCACATACTGATGATGCAGTCAGAATCCAGGAACATGACTTCCGTACAGAATTATGTACATGTAGCAGTAAACAGCTGTTCCTATCCCGCAAGCAGTCCAAACATTAGCCAGCAGCGCCTTTCTTCCTCTTACTGAGCAGGAAAGACATCAAGATTGCACTCAGAGTCCATCCAACCTGGAAAACAAGCCAGATTACAAAAATGTTATGAGGTTGGGCATGGTAGCTCACACTTATAATCCCAGCACTTTGGGAGGCCAAGGTGGTAGGACAGTTTGATCTCAGGAGTTCAAGACCTGCCTGAGCAATACAGTGAGACCCTGTCTCTACAAAAAAATGAAAAAATTAGCAGGGTATGGTGGTGTGCACTTGTAGTCCCAGCTATTTGGTGGGGGCTCACTTGAGCCTGGAAGTCATCATGGCTGCAGTGAGCTGTGATCACACCACTGCACTCCAATCTGGGTGACACAAAAAGACCCTATCTGGAAAAAATGTTTTGAGAGGCTAGTTACCAACCTGACTATCTCTTGTTGCCAGAAATTCTAAACTAGAGTCAGTTTAATACCCAATGGCTAAATGGCTAAAGTGTCAACCTCTGAGAATTGAAGATGCCCCAACATTAAATGAATGACCACAGAGTATTAAAGCAGGGGAGCTGAATTCAAAGTACTGATGTCAGCAGTGATGAGGTGGTTCTCTGAGATTCCATCTACCAGGCATCAGCACTACATGCATAGTTAGACTATACCACCAAACTGGTTTGTTACTAAACCAGTGGTAACAGCTTTTAGCTACCAGAGACCTAAGGGGCCTAGCTTGTTTTGTTACACAGACAACTCAAGTAAATAATGATATATGATTAGTGGTATATCACAAATGTGAAGAACAAACTTTGGTACTTCTGTGTAATTTTTAATTTATGTAAATAATAGCACTGAGGAATAAAAGTATCTTAAGCTTCATCAAAAGACTAAAAGGAATCTTGGAACAATAGTAGCTATACTTCTTTCAACCCCTATCAGTGAGGATGAAGGTGTGTGAGGCATAGAAAATCTGCCAAAATCTGAATGCCTAAATTATCAAGTGCACAATAGCCTTTAAGGAAGGAGCGCAGGTACTTGCTCTGACAAGTGCAGATGTTCTGGCTGTGTTTATTAAACAAGGGCAAACATCTAAATGAAAAGTAAAATATTGGCTGGGCGCAGAGGCTCACGCCTGTAATCCCAGCACTTTGGGAGGCTGAGATAGGCAGATCACCTGAGGTCAGGAGTTCAAGATCAGCCTGGGCAACATGGTGAAAACTCATTTCTAACATCACTGCTAACATCAGTACTTTGAAAATACAAAAATTAGCTGACGTGATGGCGCACACCTGTAATCTCAGCTACTTGGTAGGCTGAGGCAGGAGAATCATTTGAACTTGGGAGGCAGAGCTTGCAGGGAGCCAAGACTGTGCCACTGCACTCCATCCTGGGTGACAGACTCTGTCTCAAAAAAAAAAGAAAAGATAAGTAGAGTATCATCTTGATGTTCTGTTAATTTCCAATAATTCAGTTATTTGGAACATCCAAAAGTAGTTAGAAATTCCTGGCAGACTTTTAAGGTTTTCTACCTAAAGGCAGAAATTAGGAATACAAGGCAATATTAGGACATGGACAGGGACAACAGGTACATGGAGTTTTATTGGACTTTCAAGCCCTTTGAGGAAAGGACCATGTCTACTTTTTGTTGTAATCCCAGAACTAGCCCACTGATCCCTATGCACTAAATGTTAGATGATTAAATAAGAACTCACGATGCTGTAGGCTTCCAAAGATGTCACTAGCATCAAGAAATAAGGTGAAAAGGAGAAATGAAAACATGTCTATGAAAATATTTGCACCAGAATGTTAATAGCAGCCATAGTCATCATAACCCCAGCTGGAAATACCCAAATATCCATCAATTAAAGAATGGATAAACAAATTGTAATTATTCACACAATGGAATATTACTCAGCAATAAAAAAGAATCAACTACTGATACGCATAGATGGATCTCAAAAACATTACTAAGCTAAAGGATATAGACATGGAAGAGTACATACCATATATGTGAAATACAAGTGCAGACAAATCTATGGTGATATTCAGGAAGTTGCTAGGGGAGGGTGGTGATGGGTGTGGGGTGATCAACTATAAATGAGGAAACCTTCTAGGGTGACAGTTCAGTATCTTGTTTTGGATATTAATCACATAGGTGTATATTTTGAAATTCACCAAACAAAGCACCTAAGATGTGTGCATTTTATTGCATGTTAAGAATGATTTAAGGGCCGGGCATGGTGGCTCATATCTGTAATCCTAGCACTTTGGCAGGCTGAGCTAGGTGGATCACCTGAGGTCAGGAGTGACCAGCCTGGCCAACACGGTGAAACTCCATCTCTATTAAAAATACAAAATTTGGCCAGGCGTGGTGACTCACGCCTATAATCCCAGCACTTTGGGAGGCCGAGGCAGGTGGATCACGAGGTCAAGAGATGGAGACCATCCTGGTCAACAAGGTGAAACCCCGTCTCTACTAAAAATACAAAAATTAGCTGGGCATGGTGGTGCGCGCCTGTAGTCCCAGCTACTCGGGAGGCTGAGGCAGGAGAATTGCTTGAACCCAGGAGGCAGAGGCTGCGGTGAGCCGAGATCGTGCCGTTGCACTCCAGTCTGGGTAACAACAGTGAAACTCCATCTCAAAAAAAAAAAACACAATAATTAGCCTGTTGTGGTGGTGCACGCTTGTAATTTCAGCTACTTGGGAGGCTGAAGCAGAGGCACTTGAAATCAGGAGGCAGAGGTTGCAGTGAGCAGAGATCGTGCCACTGCACTCCATTCAGCCTGTGCAATAGAGTGAGACTCCGTCTCAGAAAAAAAAAAAGGAATAAAAAAAAATTTTTTTAAGCAATAAGATGAGAGAGCTGGTGGGAGTAACCATCAACCATCAAGACATCTTTTAGGTTCCGATAATGGCTGTCCTTGGACACTCTTTTCATCAAACTACTCTATGCTCAAGAAGCCAAAATGACTTCTTTACCTTATGTCTTGTCACATCCATAGCCTCATTCTGCTCTCCTCCACAGGAAACTTCCTCCGTTAACTTGTCTGGTTTCCCAACCTACCACTACCTACCACTATCACATGCAGACAATCTGCTCTTTCCTACCTGAGTCTCCTTGTGCCCTTTACCCTGCCTGGACCCTACTCAAGTTCTCTCTGCCCTTCAAATCCCATTTTAAATAAGCCTCCTTCAGAAAAGAACTCTTAATCCTAGCCAATCTGAGCACCCTAAATTCCCTTATTTTTTAATGTTCCTTTATTGGGCTAATATGATACTCTAAGCCGCATCCTTTGTATACCCACAACAAAAGAAATTTTAATGAAGTGGGCAGAGACTGTGCCTAGGGATTCCATCGTACTTCCCTGCAGAACCCAGTTGAGAACCTACATTTCTGGGGCAGTCACTACAATGCAGGTTGTAAGGGTTGTGAGATACGGTATCCAGGCAAGGGCAAATAGGTGTTTAATTAAGGACTAATGGGAATGATATTGAAAGCTCTGAGGGTCTGCAGGGGCCTGGATGGGCTGTTTGCTTTTCCTCATCCCCACCGAGATAGCAAATGGTTGAGAACAAGGTTGTATCCTTTCTTTGCCCAGCCTTGCCTCCTAAACCAGTGAGGAAACGGCCAGCACTGCTCTCTGATGAGTGGACCCTGTTCCTACTACTGTTTTCCAGATTACTGGGGGACGACACTATCCTGGAGGAGGGAGAGAGGCGGGAGCATTTAAGGCCAAAGAGGCACTCAAGCCTTTCCCCCATGGATTTACACCCAACACGTATGCAGAAAGGCAAATTACAAACACCGACGCTCAGAACCACACATACACGTGCACGCCCAGCCCCACAAAACCAAACGCGCATGCCCGTGGGCCCGCACGCACCTACTAGTTTTCTCTGTTCTAGACGCCCTCATTCCACCCCCGCGCGGCCCAACCCGGCGTCCTCTACCCTGGCACTGCTGCGGTTTACCAGGCCCGGCCGGGCCTGGAGAAAGTGTTTCTATAGGGGGGAAGGGAGGTCCTTCCCACTGGAGCGGAAGCGGCGCGCGCCGGCTAGGCAGACTTAGCTCGCGCCCTGGGAACATCTGGAGGGGGCTGGGAGGGGCGCGCATCCAGGCTGAACGTGGATTGGCTGCTCTGGAGGAGGGAGGCGTGGCTAGCGCGAGGGGCGGGGCTCCCCGGCCCCTTTAAAGCCTTGACATCAGGAGGCGGCTCCGGCACCCCCCTTTCTCTGCCCCCCCGCCCCCAATCCGCGGCCATGGACCTGGCGGATCCGGCCTGCCCTAGCTCAGCTCAACACCTGATTTCGGTGAGTTCGGGGTCTACTTGGGATTGAAAGGGCGGCGAGTGCAGGGGGGATCCGTAGCTCAGGGCCGGGGGGAGTGGGGTGTGGAGGGTAAGTCTCTCGTGGCAGTACAGGGTCGGAGAGGGCGTCGCAGCTTCCTGCCCAGACCCTGCTGTCCGGTCCCTCCTTCCCTCCCTCCCGTCGCACCCTCCCCAGGGGTCCGGCAGCGACTCTGTGCACCCCCACCCCACCCCCTCCCGCCCCCCGCGCCATCCTTGCGCACACTCCGTGGCCCCGGAAGGGAAACTTTCGGGAGTGGGGGATATTCCGGGGGCCGGGCTCCCTCCCTCTTTGAAAGCACTGACCTTGCCCCAGCTGCTCACCCGACCCCACCCGCATCCCACCGTCCGGGTGCCGCTTAGCGGTGCCGGGTTATTGCGGGGGGAGGGGCTCTCTCCCCAAAGCGCAGGCGCGGAGACGAGCCTGGGGCTCCCTTTCGCACTCCTTCCAGTCCCCGTGGCCTGGGGCGGTAGGGTGTGGGGAAGGTGGGGAGAGGCGGAAAGACCGGGTCTCCGAGAGAACGGCCCTTCTGAGGCTTTGAGGGGCTGCGAGAAGGAGGAAGGACCTGGCGGGCTGCATGCTAAAGAGAAGCTAAGGGAGGGAGAAGGGTTGGTTGGGCAGGGAGTAGGGACAGGGCAGCGCCTGCAGAAAAGGCCCTCCGGGTACTGGCTGCGGTGCCAGAAGAATGCGGAGAATTCATCTGTGCCCGACGCTTCCCTGGCTTAGCCCGACTGAGAAAGCGGCTACCTGGACCCTAGCTCCCCTCTCCTTGTCCTGGGCACAAGGCCCCTAGTTGTCTCCAGTTCTGGCACGGCCCCAAGGGCACAGAGGGTCTTCACCTCCCATAGGCCTCGTTTTCCAGGCATCCCCGGGCTTCAGCCGAGCCCACCTAGTGTATCCAGCTGCCGCTTCTTAAAGGCCTGCCTTGCTGAGGAGCTAGGGGTCTTGGGCTAAGGAGTTCTCTGGCCGTAGAGGCAATCCCTCCCTCCCACTTCTTCTCCTTCATGGGTTCTCCTGTTTACGCACAATAATCAGCCTGAGGAATTGGCCCCGGGCAGGAGTGGTCCTGGGGAGCGGTAGAGAGGGTGTCAATGCCTCACCGTTTTATGGTCAGTACTTTTGGGGAAAATAAACCTAGCCCATTTGCCTTGTTGCAGACCCTCCCTTGCAGACATTACACCATCTGGCTCTCTGAGACTCCTTGTGTGACAGGAAAATTCACTTCTCAAATTGGTCCCCCATCTTCCTAAAAACAACCTGGGGTTAGTGGATTTCCTATCCCAAAGAAACTATGTGTATTCCTGTCTGAGGAGACATTCCCATGTATTCAAGCTTGTTTTCAAAGTCTGTGGTCTGTGCATGAGGTGACTTCAGGCCTCTAGCATCTTTCTCCGGCTCTAGCCTTCAGGAAGAGTGAGGACTTGGAGAGGCAGGTGCTGTGGACAGCAGGGAAGAAGGATCTTCATGATAGGCCAGTGAAAACCTAAGTGTATGGGGACCAAGCTGCTATCAATAAAAACAGAGTCAGAAGCCCTGGTCCCTACTCTTCCTGCCTTGCTGTGTGACCTTGGTCAAGACAGTTTGCTCTCGGGGCTCAGTTTCCCCATCTTTAAAACTCAGGAGTTTGACTAGAAAGCTCTAATATTCCCTTCCACCTTTTGACATTGAATGGTTTCACTGATGGGTGAATCCATAGGGAAGAAAGATCCTCTGGCAGAATGGTTCCATTTAGATAGAGCTGAAGTGTTGGGTGTGCTTTAAATTGCAATTACCTAGGATGAGAACCCTGGGTAGAGAGAACAGATACCCTTATTCCACGCCTGGCAGTCTTTGTTCCACACACCCCTGGCGCCTTGGGATATGAACTCCTGCTCCTGCTGGCTTGGGTTTGGCCCACCCATCACGGTCTGTGGTGAGACATCCCAGCCCTTTGAAGAAGGGCTGAGAGAGGAGGAGGCAGCCAAGGGCCAGCAGGGTAAGCAGATTCCCAGGAGACAGTTTACATCTCAGTTGTTGGGACTTGTTTTAGGATCTGGGCCAGGGAGCACAGCACACTCACCCACCCTCCCTCTTATAAGAGGAGGGCAAGGAGGGCCCCGCCGATTTTGCCCACCCACCCCCAGCCCTGCCCACCTCACTGCTGTACTCACACCCCCACGTCCCAGGCAATGGGCTAAGGAATCTTCTCCACCACGCTCATCCAGCCCAGCCAGCCTCCCAGGCCCTGCCATACCAGCCAGGCAACTGCAGTGAGAAGCCGCCCCCACCCCACCTTTTCCAGCTGGGGGTAGGATTTTGTCAGGAGTTGGGCTCTCCAGGTTGGGACTTGCTTTCCAGCCCAAGAGCCAAAGGTCTTGAAGTTCGTCTTGTTTGTTTTCATCCTTGGTCTCCCAGGTGAAGGGGAGTGTTGAAGGAGAGACGGTGATTAAAGAAGCCCTGGGTTTGGTGATGTAGGGGGCACGTTCTCCCTGCATTGCTTTTCCCCCTGCTCTCCTGGGCCTGGGAAGCCCTCTGCCCTGGGCCCTGCTGCCTATAAGGGTGAAGCTGCAGCAAGAGGTGTTTAGGTTAAACCCCAAGGAAGCCTTCCTTACTGCTGTGAGCCTTTGGAATGGATAATGGAAGCTCCCAGGGAGGTCAGTTTCCCAGAAAGTGGCTAATGCCGGAGTCCCTGTCAGACTGAAAGATGCAGCTGTTACTAGGCAGAGGCTGCTGTTCCTTCTTGGGGTGTGGCTCTGAGGCTGGCCAGCCAGAGGCCTCGTTAGAAGCAGGAGAAAGGGCCCTTGCCTGACAACTGAAGTGAGGTTCCTGATGCCATTCTTCATGCCCAGGTCACCAAATCTGCATCTCTCAAAACAAGTGCCCTTTCTAGCTCCTGCTTCCCTCGGCCCCTTCCCTAATTCACCACTGCTCCTTCTGTCTCCTTCGACACCCCTCACCTCAACCTGGCAGGTTCCCCCAGCCCCAGTCTGGCTGCATTCATGGACTGATTGGATTTTCTATACTTGGAGTTTGGGATTTCTGATTGAACATGCAAATTTATGTAAATCAATCTGGGATCTGCCACTACATCAAAACAACACAGCATAGGCTGGAAGGAATCCTAGAGACAGTTTAGTCCAACGCCCTCGTGTTAAAAATGGGCAAACTGAAGTCCAGAGGGGGAAGTGATTCATGCTGTGGTGAGTGTCAGAGGCAGGACTCCTGATTCCGCTCTGTAGTTTTACATGGTCCCATTCTGCCTTAATGTTTTAGGCACAAGGTAGCCTGGCTGGACTTAAAGCAGAGGGCCAGTTCTTGAACCTGAGATAGCAGAAAGCTGGGCCTTCAGAGTCAGAATGTTATTGCAGGACCCCCCCCCCCCTCCACAGGGGGCTCTGGTCAGCTTTGTAGCATGCTGAGGAAAAACAACTTCAAATCCCTGAGAGCAAGACCTGTAATATTTTCCCCCAGGCACTGTCCTGGAGGGTTGGAAGACAAGGTCATTGGTTGCTGTCTGTCTTGGCCCTTGTGGTTTCTCGGGAGCTTAGATTTTGTCTGTCCCGGCATCTGTCACAGTACCAGGCACACAGCAGGCTGTGGATGGACCTGCATATGCAATGCCTCCATCTTTACCTTTCCCTCCTAGTTTGAGTCTCTACTGCTTTCCTCCATGGACACAGTAGGAAAAGGTTTTTGGTCTCTTAGGATGCTTTTCCACTCTCCTCTGCCCTCTTGGAGGGTATATGCCAACTGGACCTCCCCTGCAGGTTTCTACGGCACTGGCCAGGCAGGCCTTGCTGTAGGAAGGATCTCTTTATTTTAGGATCACTACCAAGGATGGAAGGGGGCTAGAGAGATGGGCTGGGGTCCCCAAGAAGCAGCCTCCCCCATTTCTTGACTCTTCTTGATCTGATCTGCCTACTTGGCTATATAAGGTGCCCCCCACTCCCACTTCATGGACTGTGCCTGTGGCATGGGGCTGTTCCCAGGGCTGAGTGCTCACTTACCCTGTGGCTCCTGAGCATACTGTAGAGGCGGTGGAGATCCCCGAGGCAGCTGTCTGCCTGCTTTGTGATACTCTGGGAGGGTGGGGCATGGGCTCAAGAACAGAGGCCTTGACTCCCAGCCAGGGCTACCCACCAGGCCTGCCACAGCCTAGGAGGGGACTCGGGACTCATATCTGGATCTTTCCTCACCTTCTCCCCAAACCCAAGTCTGGGGGACTCTGGAATGAGTGCCCCTGTCTTCAGCACTTTCCCAAAACACAGCAGGTTTAGAACTGGCATGCTCACCCTGCCCCGCCCAGCAGCCCTCAACGCCTATGTCTATAGCTTTGTGTGAGGGGAAATCTTTCTCCTTGGGCCTCAGTTTCCCAGCCAGTGTTCCTGGATTGATCATGCATCATCATTGGGGCGTGGCACCTGCTCAATAATTACCATTTTCCCAGCTCTGGGAGTTACGCAGATGAAAGAGGAGGCCAGGCTGTTATTAAGGTGAATTATTGTTGCTGTTATTACTGATTTCTAAAACCCAGCAGCTGCTGAGAAGAGCCCAGTCAGGCACAGCACCTTGAACCTTAATTCTGGTCCTTGAACTCTGGGAATTCTCCAGTATTCACTATGCTGTTTTTTGTTTTGTTTTGTTTTGTTTTGTTTTAACATATAGATGTCTTAAAGGAGAGAAGCTCCCAATCTGCTGC